GCCCCCCCCGGGCCACGGAGCTGCGCTGGGAATAAAGCCTCCGCAACGCGCGGCACCTTCGGGTTTTTCTGTCGTCTGGTTGGCGTTTGCGGTGCCGGGGGGGTGCGCTCACCGCTGGTGAACAATTGCGTAACACGCAAATCGCGCCAAACTCCGCGCTCTGGTCTTGCTGTTACAGCACGGCAGGGGAAAGCGGTTTTCTGGAATCCCGATAAAGGCGGCAGCCTCCTCGGGGCGGGCGACTTCAGCCGAGCAGGCTGGCATGAGGAGCGCTGGCGCAGGCCTCCCCGAGCTGCGGTAGGCAGCTGTCAAGCGGTTTCTTCTAGCCGGGGCGCTGCTGGAACAACGTCTTTCCGACACCGGTGATGCGAAGCAGCCCTTTCTGTTGGCGTGCAAAAGCACATCTTGCGTGGTGCCTTAGGTACTACACGTGCCGGTGCTCAAGGACGCGCTCGGCAGGGCTTTGCAGGATTCAAGATCGTTGCAGCCAACTATTTCTCCTGCATCATACAGCAGTTTCAGGCGGTGGTGTCGTGCCGTAGTGTTAATGTGTAATTCTTGCAGTACTAGAATTGAAGTTTTCGTAATGCCTGGCTTAAGTCATTAAGTCACTAAGTATTTTGGGGTATCGAGAGAGTATTCTTCGTGAAAGATGCCTACATACCAGAGTCAGATGGGTTAAACTGATGACATCAGTCAAGTGCCAAAACTTAGAACGTAAAACTTCTGCAGTTCAGCCATTGAAAATAATTGACGCTGGATTTTTAGTCTTCCTGAATGTTTAATCTTCTCTACATTTGGGGGTTTTTTGGTGCTGGTGGTAGGAGTGGTCTTTTTTGCGTGGGTGTTTTGGGGTTTGGCGGGGGGGATGTGTTTGTGGGCTTGTTTTTTTTTTTTTTTAGTTAGAAAAAAGGCATTTGCTTAAGATAGATAGTTAATAACATATTGAAATACAAATTTTGGTTCAGGTAGGTTATATTGCAGTACCAGCTGACAGGTCGTGCTTAACTGATGTGAGAAGCATAGGCTGCAGCTCCAAAACCTAAAGTAAAACTTGCATAAACTTTCCATGTCTTCACAAGAAATTTGGAATGCGTGTGTTCAAAAAAATCTACCCAGGCAAAACAAAACCTAAATCACAGGATAACTATTAGTTGCATATGTAAATTGCTGTTACCACATTCTCTTACCTTTTTTTTTTTTTTTTTTTTTAAATAATTTCATACTTGTGAAATTCAGAGGCAGTTTTGGTAATGCCATTTGCATCTATATGAGATCCTGGTCCCTGTTAGGTGAATTGAGGTTAGATTTTATATCTCAGTATGTTTTGCTTCTCTAAGGCAGAATGTTCTAACCTGTGAGAAAGGGAAAAATCAGAGAAGAAAGGAGATGCAGGAAAGACATTCTGCGTGTTTTTGAGGACTTGGTACGGAAATGCTGAGTGCCCTGTATGTTTGAGTTGGTTTGAGTATCATAGTGAAACTCAAAAACATCTGCTCAAAAATAGGTTTCTGGAACTATTCTTGAAACTTTAAACACTTTTGTGCAGTGTTCTTTCTTACACGCTGTTGGAACAATCCTTGAGGTGCAATTCACGATCGAACGTATTTTCAGTGTTAGCATTTTAAATCGGAAGCTCTAGCTGCTCCAATTGCTGCATATCATCTTTAATGTTATCTTCTAACTTTTTCATCTCCTTCTTTGCAGTAAATATTTGATGAAGATTATATTTCTGTGTTTTAAAAGTAAGCAACAGGTTTTTTGCAGAAAGTATAGGGAGGAAATCATCTAGACATCTTGGATACTGTAATCCTAATTCTGTAGTCCTAGGGATTTAAGTGGCCTCACGTTTTCAGCAGAAATAACTCAGCAGTGTCGGATGGAACTTGCCATAGCTTAGGGTCTAGCCCCGTGTGTTTGGGGTTCTTCTGCATCAGCTGTCAAGTGTGATAGTGATTATTAAGTAACTTAGCATCTGATTTCTACACTGGTTTGTGCTTGCTTTCTGTCCCACTCTCTTTCTCCTGCTCTCAGTCATTCACTAAAAATATTCATGTTGTCATACAGAAAATGTCCAGGAAAACGATCTATTAATTGCCCCTCTAGTTTTACAATTAATTTTGGAATTTGGGGGGGGGGGGGGGGGGGGGGTTTTTTTTCGCATCCATTCATCCCCCAAACCAAAGCTGAAGGAATCAGATGCGGGAAGAGGAGGGGGCTCCCCGGGGAGGCCCCACAGCTCCCTTCTAGGCAGGAAGATGGCACAAGGTCTTTAAGGAAGAGCTACTTAACAAATAAAAGGAGGGAGAAGGTAAGACCTCTGCCCACATCCATGGCAGGTAGCTCTGCATGTCGGCCCTGGTTTGGGGAGAAACATAATTACCTGTTGGCTTAGGGTTTGTTGGGTAGGTTGGGGTTGTTTTTCGTGGATTTTTTTTAAGTCTCAGGAGAAAAAGTGGTGAGGAAAGCAAAACCCATTCGCTGCTCAGCGTTAAAAGTGCTTTGTGCCTCTTGCTGCTTTCAGGATGGGAAGATCCTGCCACACAGGGAAGATCAGAAATTATTTTTTGGATTTGGGGGGGGGGGGGAGTGGGTGTATTTGTTTAGTTAGTTCTTTTTAATTACTGATAAGTTTAAAGGGAAGAATTGTCAACATGCATAAAATTATATTTAGTCCCTTTTTTTTTTTTCCCTAAATCGGTATTTGCATTCTATTCCTGTGGGATCGACTAGAACAAAAGCAATCCTCTGGAGTCATGAGCCCGTCGTCAGATACCAGCTTCAGGGAATCTGTCTTTGATCAGCTTTGTGCGTTACAAAAAGGTGTTGCTGCGTGGAAGGAACGATATGGGAAGGCTTTGTTTCGCCATTTTCCGTGTCGAAAATATTTATAGTTTTTATTTCTTCCTTGCAGAGATTCTGAAGGACCTGGATGATTACTATGAAAAATTTAAACGAGAGACAGATGCCGTGCAGAAGAGAAGAATGTTGCACTGCATACAGAGAGCCTTGATTCGGAGTCAGGAACTGGGGGATGAGAAGATCCAGATCGTCAGTCAGATGGTGGAGCTCGTTGAGAACAGAACCAGGCAAGTGGACAGCCACGTGGAACTGTTTGAGACTTGTCAAGAGACTAACGATACCACTGGAAACAGCGGGAAGGCCAGCCAAGATAAGTCAAAGAACGAGACAATCGCGCAGGCTGAAAAGCCCAACAATAAGAGATCGAGGCGGCAAAGAAATAATGAGAATCGAGAAAATGCTTCAAATAATCACGATCATGACGACATCACCTCAGGAACTCCAAAGGAGAAGAAAGCAAAAACGTCCAAGAAGAAGAAACGATCCAAGGCTAAAGCAGAGAGGGAAGCTTCTCCCCCAGACCTTCCCATTGACCCTAACGAGCCAACATACTGCTTGTGCAACCAAGTCTCCTATGGAGAAATGATAGGATGCGATAACGACGAGTGCCCCATTGAGTGGTTTCACTTTTCCTGCGTGGGACTCAATCATAAACCAAAGGGCAAATGGTACTGCCCCAAATGTAGAGGAGAAAACGAGAAAACTATGGACAAGGCATTGGAGAAGTCTAAAAAAGAAAGGGCCTACAACAGGTAGTTTGTAGACTTTTCGTAGTGAAGAAAAATAAAACCACCAAACCAGTGTATTTATTGTCAGCGTCACCTTTGTTGAGGTGAAAGGATTGTAAAATGTATATTTTTAAAGGAGGTTTAAAACTGAACCATTCCTGTTATAGGGACGGCAATAAGCAATTCTGTTTTTCATTTGGTAAACTGTAACAAGACTGTGGTCTGTGGACCAATGTATTCCAAAAGTAAAGTTATAAGAGTTTAAACTGAATATTCGGGTGGGTCTTAAAAGATAAATTAATACTTTTTTTTTTTTTTTTTTTTCCTCAGTGCTGGTAGCACTCTACCCATTAAAATTTTGATGACAAATATCTCTGAAATGTAATTTTGTTTTCTTTATTGAAGAATGTTATCTACCTTTTGAGCAAAATAATTGTTAAATAGTTTAGCCATCTGGTTGTGTCCGAATAAAGCTGCAATACATTACAAATGTAACTTCTTTCGAGGGTAAGCAGTGCAAGAGCAAACAAAAGGAAGGTAAAATTTGGTTCCTGCTACAAAGTGTCAGTATAACAGTTCAATAGCAAATGTTTAAATAGGCTTAGAGGATTATTTTTTAAAACAAAAGTTAATGGTTAAATTTTACACAACAAATATTTTATATGCTGGCCAAGTACCACAAGGGCCATTTTAAAATGATTGAATATGTTTTATATTTAACCAGGAAGTGGTTTAGTAAGGAGACTTAACATAAATGAAGCTTTATACTGTCACAGATAGTAGTGTAGCAATCCTTAATTTGTTTAAGTTGTATAAATGTACATTTTTAAGTGGAGTTGCACTTACTGTATTATACTCGGAAATGCAGCCAAATGCCATTGTGTAACCAATGCGCATTTCCTGCTCTATGTATGAAAATTGTACAGCTGTGATATTAAGAAATAAATGAAACAACTTTGACAGTTTGCTTCTTTAGCAATCATGTTTAATGAGCATTCATATAGCTTAAAAAAAAAAAATTGTCTTTAACCTCAGCAGCTCCAGCAAGCTGCTGCTAGGAAGCCTGAAACTGTTGTAGTGGTAACCAAATTCCAGTTCTGATCATGAAGCTTTATAGAACTTACGACCAGCAAGGTCACAGGAGAGCCAGAATAGCATTTAACTTGCCATCCAACTCTACTCTTTTTGTGCTTGCAGTCCCTCCCAGACCTGGCCATTTATCTAAAAATCGGTAGTATAGAGCTGGTCTTGTTCAGTTGTTTTCATGCTTTTACACTACAGATATAAGTTTTTCCGTGTTTGTTATCAGCAGAAAGATCTTCTTGCGTTACAGCGTTTCCAAAGTATTATTGCAGCCGTTCCAGGGTAGGCATTTTTATTCTTCGTGGTCACCTTGTACAAAAATACACTGGCGAGGATCAAGGCGCTATGCGTTAGATCAGGTACCCAGATCCTCTGTCGCTTGGCTTTATAGTGAAGCTCGGTGGGGCTGTTTCCTTCACCTGCGTGGCTGGAGGGGCCGACGTTCTGGCGGAGCGGATTTCGTCTCCTCGTCCCGCTGGGGGCCTTCACTGCAAGCGAGAAGGGGACGGGACCAGCAGCAGGGAGGCCGTGGAAGCCAAGCTTGTGAAATCTGGTGGCTGAGACCGGAGTCCTGTAAGAATATGGGAGGCTGGGGCTGGGGTTTTTTTTGGAACATGGCATTCTCTTAAAATTTATAATTGTGTTGTTTTGCTTCCTGGACAGTGAAACCATACCACTGAATTCGTGTTGCTTTTCCCCAATGTATTCCAGCAGGTCTTTCTGTTGGAAGTAGGGGAGACAAGGTTTTGGATCCAATTGAACACAAGACAGTTGAAGGGGCTGAGCGTTTTCTAAAGGTCTACTGAAAAGCCCCAAGATGCACCGCATCACCTTGTGTGGGTACACCCTGCCAGACAGACATACTCACAGTGACAAGTACGAGTCCTGCTTTACTTCTAAATAGGTGCACTAAGTGCGTGTGCATTCGTGTTTCTGGTCACCACAGGCTGTCACGTTACACCGAGCCACTTTTGCCCTGGGCAAACGACTGCTCCGAATCACGTCTCCAGCTCCTGAGGTGGCTTAGGGTCGGTGTGCAATTTCTTTACTCTCTTACCCTTCTCTTTTCCTCTTCTCTCTAAAGCCTCCCCGTTTTCCATTCTCCCTACGCACTTATAGGTCTTTCGTGCTGCTCCCTCCCTCCGCTTGCTGCTGTTGTGGCTAATGCCCGCTTTTCTGGTCTTTTCTGCCTCAGCCGTTCTGTTGTCCTCCCACCGACCGACGCTGAGGACATCGACATTTAGCAGGGTTGTACTTAGGAAACCCCAGTGAAACTTTATGTAGGAGCTCGTGCAGACACAGTTTCAAACCGTAGCCTTTTTCATGAAACGTCTGCGTTGGTTCTGCGGGGCTTTTTGAGTGTGAACAGCCAGAAGGAAACGAGAAAGGTGCAAAGGAGCATGGTAAGAAAGTTCAGCTAAAGATGGATCGGTAGAGCAATATTTATGCTGCCCTGAAATGAACATATTTCCAGCTACCGAAGGCTGGCTGTGGTCTCCCGTGTTTCAGTCGTTTGCAAAAGATAGCTGCTGATCGGCGAGGTGGCTTGGAGTTACATCCCTTTCCATGTTTTTCCAAGACCTGTGTTATCTTCCCAGCTCCCGCTGTTACGGGCTGCAACGTTGTTCCGCCGTTTGACCCCGCGGGTTGACTGGACCGGCGCGGTACCGTTTGACAGGTCTAGTTTTGGTCGATGGGCACAATTAATTACTTTAGTTAGATTTGAGGGACTCTGCTGTGGCAGTAGGCTCTTTGTTGATGGAAGTGAAGCCAGCTCATGTTATACTGACAGACTGCCAAGTGCTGCGCACTGTGCAAACTTTCTGCTGGCTTTGGTATCTCGTCTAAAATGCTGTCTTTACAAAACGTCTCTACAAATCCTCCTTTCTTAGTTATTCAGGGTGCATCGAATGGTCATGAGAAACTGCCATCCTTTGAGCCAATTTTTGTTATTTCTGCATGACGGATCAGCTCATTTGCAAGCTTCCTTATACTGCCCGGCAGGGTGACGGTGCTGTCATTCAGGGAGATCATCTGCAGGTTTGAGAAAACATCTGAATCTCTGGTGACCCTTGCTTGCTGAGGCTGCCAGCAAAAGGCTTGAGTAAGAGGGAAGCTCTTCTAGGAACCGAGCTAAGGCTTCTGACTCGTTTCCCACAGGCTAGCGAGCGGCTCTCAGGTATGGTAGCATTAATACAGTATATAAAAATGAGAAAGTGTTTGTTGAGGAGGAAGTCACAGCCGCAGGAATCGCAAACTTCTTTTCAACTGATAGGAATCGCAAACTTCTTTTAAACTTCTCGTCGAAAGCATTGAGGCAGCTGTGACCTCTGCTGCTCTGTGACGGGTGTCACAGGCAAGTCCATCTGGTGCTGCCGACCCCTTGAGGTGATGATCAAGTCCTTCCGACCACTGAAAAGCGCCGTTTCCACACTCGAGTCAGGGGAGCTGGCAGCAGACCTTACACCTGAGTCGTCCCCGTCCTCAGACAGCAGATTTGCCCTGCAGTAGGGCAGCTGGCAGTGAAGAACTGGTGCTGAAGGCACGAGTCGGGAGGTATAAGGCGGCAGCGAGGGAGCCCTTTGGGTGCTACGTCAGCTCCAACTGCAAAATGTCCCCAGCGGGATGAAGAGAGAGAACCACCATGAGCCTGAAACAGCAGAGCAAAGCATCAGTTTCAACCGTTATTATCACCTGAAAGCATCCCAATTAAGCAGAACTACTGCCTCCATTAAGCAGACGCAACCCCGGCCATGTGTATCATTAGGTTTAAACAGGTTTCTTACTAATTAAGCACAGTTGCTGATTAACTGTGTCCTAATTTCGTGGAGCATGCAGAATAAATACAATTGAATCGGACTGCTCATTTTTTGGTAGGGTAGTTTTAGTTACTCTTTTAAATTGTAATAACAACGAAAGAGAGAGACAAAATATTGTAAACTGTTTCACAGAACGTAATACAAAAAAAGTTCTCTGTAATAGAAATGCTTCAAACCAAATTTGAATGCCCTTGGAGTGCATTCTGTTGCTCTAGTTAGACTTCTTGTCCTCCTCATGGACTATTTGCTTTGTGTACATAACCCCCCCCTGCCTTGTGCTAGCCATAGCTCAAAAGAGCTAATAATTTCTGGCTTCTGAGTATCAAAAGTAGCGCGAGCATTCAATGTAATGTCAAAAAATAATCAAGCTAATAATGCTTCGTGCAGCTTCTTACTTTCCCAGGTGTTACTGAAGTCCCAAACGTAACAAGTAGGAGGAATGACGCAGTAAGGAAGAGCACCGGAGCAAACGAAGTATGTATAGGAAGGGCTGAGACACAGTATTAAGGTTTTCTCCTGAGTTCAGGATGCCCAGATGACTTTTCCCAGTAAGTGTTTTTTGCTGTTGGTAGTCAAAAAAAGCTAAGGTCCCTCTGTCCCTTCGCACAGCGGGGGAGCTGTGTTAGCGGCCAGGACAAGAGCGTGGAGGGCTGGTGGCTCTCCCCAGTTACGGGCTCCTGGTTGTCAGTGTGTGAAGCTTGATTACCGGGATAAATTAATCCTTCAGTTCACATTATAAACAGCTTCACCAATGGTGGCTACCATCCCTCGCCCCGGCCTGTGTTACTGGCCCCTCTGCAGGACCTCACTGCTCTTGCAGCTCTGCTGGAAGAAGACGAGAGGTGGTTGATACCAAACTTTTAAAAATGGGTACCAGCATTTAAATTTCCAGCTCTTACTTGAGCAGCGTAAGTAAACATTGTGGCTTAACATCCTTGAGAAGGACTGGTGCCTTTGCTGTCCTCTCCAAAATACCTTGGTAGTTCAGTTAATCATTTTTAAAGACTTTGCATACTATCCATCTCACGTAAGGCCATGAATTCTCAGATGCTGCAGTAACGAAGAATGTGGAAGTAATCCCGGTCAGATGGATGGACGCTTTGTAGAAGTCAAAATTCCTTTCAGTTGTTGGGGTGAAAATCTGACCTCCTTTCAAATTTTAGGTAACTAGTGAAGCAGGGAGCAAAATAAGTGTCTGAAATGTCAGAATTCCTTGCAGTACAGTAATTTGAGTTTATATACGACTGTGCTGTATTCACTGTGTGCCTGGGCACTGAGTCTATCCCCAAAAAAGTCTCAAGGCAATTCCTCAGATTGCTTATCAAACGTAATCCTATGGATATTGACAGTAACGTTCATTTTTAAGCTGCTTTAAACTGTTACTTTTATTTTCAATAGCTTACTTTAATAAGTCAGCCTTTCTATACGGCCGTCGGCTGAGACTGAGGGCTGGAAGAGACTCTGTGGGAGCTGCAGAAGAGGCAGGCAGTAGGCAGCTTCACACTTGCGGTACCTCAGTTCTCCACGCAGGCGGTGGCTGAACTGGGCCTGAACTTCTCCGTGCTGTGGGGAAAGGATCACGATGCAAAGAAAATGGAGTGATCTCTTGCATTTGGCTTGCTGACACGTCAGGTAAAAGTGAATGTTGTAGAACTTGGGTAAGACAGATAGAGTCACCTTGACAGAGTCACCTTTATACTCTCACTTTGTGGGAGAATTAATGCAATTTCAACGGCTGTTGTCCCCTCAGTGCTATACATCCGAACTCCCTCACCATACAATACACTTCGCTAGTTTGATTTTTTTTTTCCAAAATAAATCAAATTTGCAAAAAAAAAGGGGTTTAGTGATAAGGATGAGAAACCCAAGTGAATTGTGCATAAATGATTTACCTGCGTACAGAAAGGAATGTTTTGCTGTGTTAATTAAAAGATATGTATCAGGGGACTTTTCTTTCTGCCAGCCTCCTCTCTCCTTGAGATTTGCATGGTTTCATCTGAAATAAAATGCTCCGTTCTCATAATAGCTTCTTCAGTCTTATAACTTTGGGAACAGACA